GCTCCAACTTCCTCAGCCTGTCTTTGTGGGGGAGGTGCTCCAGCCCTCTTATCAACTTCATGGCTTCCTCTGGACTTGCTCCAGCAGTTCTTATTATTAGGGCTACCAGACCTGTACTGAATAGAACAAATACTAAATTAGTGAAGGCATCAGGTTTTTTCAATGTTTTCCCCTTCCTTGCACATTTGTTCACACAAAAAACCCTTTCCTACTAATTATTGTGTTTTTTAAATGGTGTCTCTTCTTCCTTTCGATTTTTTTTTGCAGTGTTGAAGGTCTTCATGCTATTGTAGTCTCAGATAGAGATGGTGTGCCTGTTATCAAAGGTAACTTCAGCTTCTCGCTGTGCTCTGCAGCTGAAATCCTGATTGAACAGCAGGGGGTGGAGAAGTACAGAAAAATCTTCCTGGTTATGCAAAATACCTAAATATCCCAAGTGGTAGAATTGAATTGGACTTTAAGTAAAAGTTTAGTAGTTGATTATGTGCCTTTTCAAATATATCCTGTTGTTTGTGTCCTCAGTAATTGTAGTCCATGGAGTTTCCCTGGGTGGTAGGGGTTGGAGTGCTGTAAGGTCCTTGTATCTTTAAGTCCCTCACAGGCTGATTGATGCTAAGTAGGAGAGAGAGCTTGGCAGTGTTTTGTTGGCTTTTTTAGTACTTTAGTTCTCATGTTCTGCAGCCCTTGTTTCAGATGTTCTTTCCTTGTGAGTACAATAGTTTAAGGATACAAAGATTCAAGTATTGCAGATTTATTTTGTTCAGTGCCCCAGGGTATACAAACCCCCAGCAGAATTTGCACATCTTCATCTGTATGCAATCAAGTAAGTGACTGTGTGCCAGTAATCAGTTCAAAGGCTGGAATGGGTGCAAACAGTGTGGGGCACAGAACCAAAGGGATGTGAGCACAGGCTGTGCATCCTGAAGGAAGAGACTCTTTCTTAGTTATGCTAGGAAGGATGCTGGTGTAACAAGCTTTGATCATACAGAGAACATTAAATGATGTACAGCTTGTGAAAACTGAACGCTTCAGGTGTTCCTGTGGGAGCACCTCAGATCTCTTGCATGTTTCTCTGCTTTTGGCAGAGCACTAAGCTGGATGAGGGTTTGGGATGCAGTCAGAGGCACCATGTCAAGATAAGGATTTTCTTGTTTTGTTCTAGTTGCCAATGATAATGCTCCAGAACATGCACTGCGACCTGGCTTTTTGTCCACATTTGCCCTTGCCACAGATCAGGGCAGTAAGTTAGGACTCTCTAAAAACAAAAGTATCATCTGCTATTACAATACATACCAGGTGAGTAACCTCAGTGTGCCCTGTCCTCGGCGGCTTCAGCTGTTCCTGCATTACATTGAGCAAGAGAAGGAAGGTTGTTTAAGCTCTGGTAGATTTTCACTAGGCTGCTATTGAAGTAATTTTGGCTTATTTCTTACACAGCTTAAATGGTTAAGCCAGACTTTGACAGTATTTATTAAACTTTTGTTATATTTCTTGAAACTTGAGATTTACTGGTTGACAGTGGGAAAGTGTAGCAATTCTGAATTTGCGGGAGGTGTTGCTGAAGTGGTCTTCTGAATCTTTTATGAAAGGTTCATATTCTCTTTTATAAACAAAGTTTATAATTAGTGACACCTAACATTAATTAAAGCACATGCAGCCTAATTCATAGCTAATCTTCCTGACAGTATGGCTTTGTGGTAAGGAAGCCTTGAAATACAACTCACAGTTTTCACAAATAAATTGATTATTTGTGTCCAGAAGTCCATTATCTACTACATTTCTGCTCCTTCACGAGTTCTGGTGGTCCTGAGATCTTTTAGTTATGACTGCAGTAAACTGACCAGCTGTTAAGCCTACAGCACGTCAAGCTTTGCTTGGAAATTAAGTAGGTGAATGAGTTAGTTTGCCCACATCAGTACATTGCTTTGACTCTCTTGATGCTACTAGCTTACTGTTGTGCCCAGGGTGCCAGTGCCCTGTTAATGGAAGAAGAGATACTTCTGTACAGGGAACAGAATTTTAAAACAATAAACCTGTCTGCCCTCCTGTTTCCTGTGGAGGATGTGGTCTCCGTAGTGTAATCTGCTGGATCTGCAGCTGAAGTAGGGTTCTGTAGAACGTGGAGGCAGAGGGAAATGCCAGGTTTTCCATGTGCAGCTCCCTGGACTGTAGTGTAAGTTGTGTTGGTGTTTTTAACTATGCATCAGACACAAGAAACAGATACACTGAAAAGTCACATCTGTGGCTCTTGCTCCTGCTTGTCCTTTAAACCAAGGAGGCTGCTTGTTGCAGAAAAATTTATGTGGAAAGAGCCCTGACATCCAAGATGTGTTAGCTGCTGGCTGAGCACTTCTCTCTCCTTGCAGGTGGTGCAGTTCAATCGCTTACCTTTGGTAGTGAGTTTCATTGCTAGCAGCAATGCCAATACAGGTAAGTCTACATATTTGTTTTAAAAATTGCAGTATTTTAAGGCCTGGGTATTTTAATAATTGAAAATAAATTCCCTGAATTCACTTCAAGTTAACTTTGTTCCTGCTGTGAATTTAGTTAGCATATTGTGAAAGGTGAGAAGGAAAAGGTGAGAGTAAAAATTCACAGAATTTAGGTGGCTTGCTGGAGTTACCATTCTTCTCTAAGCAAGTTTGTCCTGTGATTAACCTTGCCCTTGCTGCACGGGCAGGTACTGTGCTGTACAAGGCAGCTGTTTGCTCTCTTTCCTGTCAGTCAAGTTAACATTCTTCAGGAACATGTGCAGATTTGTCTTTAGTTCTGTGGGGTGGGGAAATCCTTCAGCCAGACCCTAGCCTTGCTCGTGAGGACTTTGGCTAATGAATATGAGCAGAAGGGATTTAATTCTCATACAGCTTCTTGGGCCACAGCAGCTATGGGAAGCAGCAAGGCAGTAGTGGGGGAGAGTTGTGCCTCTTTTAGTGTCAGGGTGCCTCCTTTAGTGCCAGGGACTGTAGACACCCTGCACTGGGGTTCTGGCCACTGTTCACAGGAAAGTGAGTAGCTCACATGAAACATTTCAGGCTTTGGAAAACACTGCCTGTGACTTGGGAAGGGGAGGGAGCTGCAGGCTTTGGAGAGAGGCTTCTCAGTGATGTTGTTAGATGGCATATTCTGTCTCTCCTCTCTTTCCAGGGCTGATTGTAAGTTTGGAGAAGGAGCTCACGCCCCTGTTTGAAGAACTGAGGCAGGTTGTTGAAGTTTCTTAACCTGATGGTATTGCCAGAGTGCAGCATTCCTCTGCAGCCCAGTGGACAGAAAGATTCAATAATCGTCAGTCAAATAACACGTCTCGGAAGAAATACCACAGCTCCTTAGTATACTAAGTAAGAGTAAATTGTACATAGTACTGAATCTGAAATGATCTACCAATGTGTTGTAGGTGGATGTTACTTTAGGCCATGCTTGTGTTGTGCAGTACTGGAGAGCCCACCAAAATAGCTCCCATGGAGTTTAGCTCAGCCAGCTGAGCCAGGTCGGTGCGATGCCCTTGGCTGGAAGGAGCAACCCCCAGATCTCTTGCTTTACAGGGCACCAGGCACACGGCAGGGTGAGTCCTCAGGCCGGCCACCACTAGGTTGTGGGAAAGCAGATCAGGTGGAGAGAGTGAGCAAAGACGTGGTTGGAGGCATTGTGAGAGCAAGTGTGTTAGCGGTGATGTGTCGGTACAATCAGTTAATATCCCAGCTTTCTTACACCGGGTGTACTTTGGCAAGGGAGTGCTACTAATCTGGATGCTAGCTGCATCCTGCTTCCACTAGGAAAAAACCTGTTTCTATGGAAGCTATTGCTTTAGGGACTTTCATGATGCCTAGCTAAAAGCACCCAAACAATGTCTCACTTCTTCATGGGTTTTTTGTGTAATATGGTTGTGAAGATCTCATGTCTCATAGTCTTTGTGTGGGTTCATCACTGGTGACACTCTCAGCTTATTTACCCTTAGGTTTTCTTAAGTAAATAAATATAAATAAAAACCAGTATTTTTAAATGACAGAGCCTGGTCCACTCTTCTGTTGCACTGTAATACCCCACAGCACATCTGCTTGTCTCTGGAGAAAAACGAGTCTCTTACCTGTTCATAAATGTCCAAAATCCATGAATTTATAGGCTGAAAACTAACCAGTGCTTCTCTCAGCTGGGCAGAAAGGATATCAAGTCCCAGGGCAGTGCAGAGATCCTGTTGCTGGGGATCAAGCCTGTGCCCTTAACCCCACCCTGTTGTTCCCTCCCATGTCCCCTTATGACAACTGCCGAGCACTGCAGATCTGAGGGACAGCTCTGGGCAGGTCTGTGCCCCAGGCTGGGAAAGGGGGTGCCATGGCCCTGTGTTCACATCTCATCAACCTTTGGTGCATCAGGCAGATGGGGGAAACAGTGGTGCTGGAAATGACAGCTGGGAGTTCTTGGCTCAAAAAGAGATTACAGCTTGTCAGTCAACCCTTTTCCATTTAAACTAAGCTGGAGTGGGACTTCTGTTGCTGGTCATTCCAGAAGCAGCTGGAAGGTGTGTGTATTTCTGGCAAAATGTGTTTGTGTTCCAGCAAAGGCCTCCCCTTGCTGTTTGCTTCTGCTCTGCCTGTCACCCAAGGACAATGGCTTCAGTTTGTGACACCACGTGCTGAACTTGTTTCCAGTGTTCTGTGAAGCAGCCTGTTGCTGTGAAAAAGGGAAGGCTACGTTTGTGGTTTCTCTACAAGCTCCATTTCCAAGCAGTGTTCAAAGGACAGTGATGCTGCTGTTGTCTCACTCTCACACAAGCTCGGCAAAGGTTTTTAACTAAATGGGAGATGCCAGTTTGTTAAAGCTTCATTAAGGGAAAAAAGGAGGACAAAGCTTTAACAATACAGTACAGGAATATAAAAGACCTGTGGTAGTTTTATAATGACTTTTTATTCAGAAAACAGTCTGTATAAAAATATTTACAAATACTTTGAATTTCTAAGTTGAAATAAAATGCTATTTATATGTCCAAATCTAGATTTTCTTACTTCTTCCAATGTGCTTTTGTCTTCCTCTTCTGCACTCCCAGTAAAGGCAATTACCAAACACCCCCTCTTTGCACACCCCTTGAGGAGGCACAGGATTGCGCAGGGGATCTTGCTCAGGGCGTCTTGCAGCTGGTCTTAAGCCTCTCCAGTATTTCAAACTTTGCTTCCAAAATGTAACATCTGTTTTGAGTACAGCACCAACCTCATGGGGTTGCACTTCTTGTCTCTGTAGTGAGTCACAATGCTGTTAAATGTGTGTCCTGTGAGTGCCAGGAAGTAGCTACTGTTTCTCATAACCCTGGCTGTATATAAGTGTGCTTACATGATGCTGCTCACCATTGCCTACAGACGCTGTTTGAAACAAACATTCCCTTGTAGCCATCAGTGTGGTATAAAGATAACCATATAAAAATTTGTTGGACCAGAACTAAGTGTCACACATTTGTCACTTTGACAAATGTGTGACACTTTTTTCAAGTATTTTTTCACTTTTTTCACTTTTTTCAGTATTTCAAGGCCACACAAGGCCACTTTGTGTGGCCTTGAAATACTACTTTCTGGATTGCAATATAGATACTATTTACAAAATGTAATTCTGTCATTTTTCTTGTGGTTTAAAGCCTAAACAGGTAATAAAAAGACAATGTTTCCAGAAAGGACCTCTTAAATAAAACGTTCAAGGTTACAGAACACGATACTGATCCTTTGTTGTGATGGAGCTTGCAATAAATTATTGAGTGCTCTGAATAGCCACAAAAGTTTTGAACAGTCTGTGTTCAAATCAGTTTTGAACACTTCTGTGATTAGCTGGCAGGTGTTTGGATTAAGTGTGTTACAAGCACACACCACACGTGTTAAACCCACACTCTGTTTGTACAACCGTCCCCACGCGTGACTCGGCAGCCCTAGAGCTGCAGGATCCTGTGTGTGCAGAGCTGGGTGACATCTGTGTGGGGGCACAGACAGCACTGGAGACGTGAGGCTGCCCACTGGTAAGAGGCTTCCCCTTGGAGAGAGGCCATTCCTGCCAGTGGAGCAGGAGCGCTGGCACACAGCTAGGAACTGAGGGTGGCGTTGCGCTCCTCCAGCTGCTTCCGTATTTGTGACTGGAACGGAAAGACAGCCCATTACTGCTTGTCTGCGTGCACGTGCATGTGGGTGAGTACAGGCAGCCCAGTTCCTGGTATTTTTTAGGAAGCAGTGCTTTCAAGCCTTTACCTTGTCTTCTCATTCCTGCTATCATGACCTAGGACATGCAGTCTGGGCTGATGAGCTGCATTTTTTACCAAGCACATATAATGACATCCTTAGAGATGGAAGTAATTTTTTCTTACTAATGAGCATGCCTGTTACAAATGCACCCCAAAAACACTGAAGTGGGTTTGCAGGCAGATCCATTATTGCCCTGTGCATGGTACTGATGAGGCCACACCTTGACTGCTGTGTCCAGGTCTGGGCCACTCAGTTCAGGAAGGTGCCTGAGTCCAGAAAAGGGCAGTGAAGGGGAAGGGGCTAGATCATAAATCCTATGAGGAACAGATGATGGAGCCTGGGGGTGTTTAGCCTGGGGAAGAGGAGGCTCCAGGAAAACCTTACCACTCTGTAACTCCCTGAAAGGAGGGGGTAGTCAGGTTGGTCTCTTCTCCCAGGCTGCCAGTGAGAGAACATAGCCCCAAGCTGTGCCAGGGGAAGTTTAGACTGGCATCAGGAAGAATTTCTTCACAGAAAGGTGTTGTTAGACATTGGAATGGGCTGCCCAGGAAGGTGGTGGAGTCACTGTCCCTTGGAGGTGTTTAAGAAAAGACTGGGTGTGGTGCTCAGTGCCAGGTATAGTTGACAAGGTGGTGATTAGTCAAGGGTTGGACTTGATGACCTAAGAGGTCCTTTCCAACCTAATTGATTCTGTGATTCTGTGGAAACTGCATATTCCAATCTAGCTGGCCTGGCAGCCAGAAGTACTCCCTTGTTTCAGGTGCTGAGAGCTGTAGGACTGGGGTGCCACAGTCCTGGGGGGGTTATGATGGCACTACCAGGTGCTGCTGCCCGGGATGCCGTGTAACAGCACACATCACCTTACCAGTTTCCACCGCAGGATTTTAATCCACTCGTCAGCTTCTATCCCAGTTTTTGCACACAGGTAGTATGTCCTTAGTGGGAACACTAAACTGTAAGTAAACAAAGCTTTCTTAAGTTGCTAGAACAACTGGCAGTTCTCCCCAAAACTGAGCCCAGCTGGCCTGTACCAACACTTGCTGAGACAGAGCAGGGCAGGGAGGCTGTGCTCCCGTTCAGCCACCAGGAGGGAGGTTAACCAAGAGAATGGCTGACAGTCATTTACAGCCCAGGGCCTTAAAGACCCTTCTAAGGATAAAAGACCCACATTTGGGCACCTCTAAGAGGTTACCATGTGACCTGTATCAGTGTCTGACCCCAAGATCCATGAGTCTAGATGATGATTATAGATGCTTATAGAATTAGAAATGCCCACTACAAATGGGTCTTTCCTTTTGGCTGGAGTAATTTTTCAAAGCCATGCAGGACTGACAGAAACTGGCTGACAGAAACAGACTTTTGAGTTAGAGGATGAGCAGGATCACAGCCACCAAGGGACCTGTCAGAAGCATGCACTGTTTACATTTCAAAATTCCCTTTCTATTTTGAACTTCCCAGCAACATGGAGAAAATCCTACAACCTACCAGAAACAATTGACTCTTTCCTGGGAATAGTCAAATTGCACAGCTGAGCATTCAGTTAAGTCAAGTGCTCGAATTGGTTCCGTAGCCTTGAAGAGAAAACGTTTTTAAAAATGTGGACACATGAAAACAGAAGATAAGGCTCTCAGTTCATCTTCAGTGCATCTGGACTTTTATAGGCACCTCCACAGGTTTTTCCAGGCATAGTTACAATGGCTGCAACACTATAAACTCAAACTAGCAAACATAACATCAGTGGTATCATGATATGAAGTGAGCTTAACATGAAAAACACAGGACAGTTCACATCCGGACAAGCAACAGAGATCTCTGCTGCAGGAATGTTTGAGCTACATGGAGGCTGCTGAGGGTTTGGCTGTGTAATGTAACTGAGACAGCAGCAAATCTGGTACCACTTTCAGCTAAGCTTTACAGAGACAAAGGCATGGGTATAAGTCTTATCAGACTAGCCAGCTGTGGGAGATTTAATTAATTCCTAAATTCCTTAAAAGGATGAAGCTGTGTAAGGAGAAATGTAGAAGCAAAGCCAAAGTAGTGCTTGCAGCAGAAATGATAGGTTTGACTGCCTGAGAAGTATGTATGTGCCCATGTGTACACAAAAACACACACATGTATATATAAAAGTTTCTTTGGACAAGGTCAGGTGCAGGGTCAGGTGCAACTCATCTCCCTTAGGACTTGCATTCTCCCCAGGTGTGAGAGTTCTTCCTCCATCTGTTTCAGCCTCACACTGTTAATACTTTGGAAGAGGCAGCTTAATTAATTGTTTTCTGCCCAAACACACTTAGCTGTTTCCATGGTCCTCCATCGGGTATACAGAGGCGTGTGTTTCTTTCTAATCTTCCCTTAATATTTTTGCTGACTGAGTGGCTGTTAGTAATACCCTACATTAGAAGAAAGCCTCTTGTGCTGTGGTGTGATAGCAAATGCTATCCCAGGGTCAGCTGCAGGCTGCTCACGTGTAGGTACCTGCAACCCCGCAGCAACAACAGGAGTGCCAAGAGGCACTGGAGCTGCTGCCTGGAGGGAGGTCATATTCCTGGCAAAGACAGGAATTCTCACCTGGTAGTCTCTAATGGAGTGCTGCTCTTTGAAATGCTACTCTGCAAACTTAATTCAAGTTATTGTGAACCAAAATGAAAATTGATGGAAAGCCCTGGGAAAACCTAGCTGTTTATAAATGGTAATGTTTGGTGAGAGAAGGCAGTTGTGTCTGCTCTTGCATAAAAATCTTGAAGAGGCTTGAAATAGGGCTTGGCAGAGGTGAACAAGCTGTGTTTATGAAGGAACCTCAAACAGAGGCAATGTAAGGGCAAAGAAACTCCAGAAGTGTTTCTTATCTTTACTCAGATTAAGACAGAAATGGAGCATCAACTGTAAGGACCCAATGTTTTTCCCAGATGCTGTAGGTTAGTTTTTGTAAGAAGGAATTTCTAAATTAATGGTTTTCTATGTATCCTGTGAGACCACTTGAAACAAAAGGATGAAATTAAAGAAGGCAAAGGATACTACGATATTTTTAGAACTATTTTAGCAGCGTGCTCTCTGTTACATTGTGTCTAAGCTGCCAATAACTGTTGTGTTGTGCTGGTAGCTTAAAATCATCTTAAAAAAGCAACCCAAAAATGTATTCTAGGCCAGGTTGGGCAAGGCCTGGAGCAACCTGGTCTAGTGGAAGGTGTCCCTGCCTGTGGTGGAGGGCTTGGAAGGAGATGACCTTTGAGGTCCCTTCCAACCAGAACTACTGTGAGTAAAAAAGCCCTGTAAACTCTATCCAGTAGCTAAGACTGTCAGAGCACAGTCAGTGTTTTCAGATGTAAAATTTACTTTCTCTTGTTGAAGTCATCAGCAGAACTGACTTGACTTGGCAGGTTTGACCCCACTGGCAGTATGGAAAGCTTTAACTTGGGAAGCTGTGATGCAAATGTGAGAAGCCAGAGACACAAGGAGGCTGCAGCTGCCTGTGTGATGTTTAAACAGTAGAGCTGGTGTTTGCTACTTACTGTCTGGTCTTTGAAGTACTTAAGTTCATTCCTATGCAGTGTAAACCACCTTGTCTTCCAGCTCTGAAAGATCAAGAACAAATGGTAACTGTTTTGGGGGAGTTTAGTCTGATGCTCCTTAGGAAAGAAAACCTTCTAAAGCTGCTGGCTTGCTCTGGTTTACAGTTTGTTGTTGCTCAAAACACAAATTGTTCCTCTCTGCAGGGAAGCACAGGTGGAGCAATTTCAGCTCCACACCATCTTTAGCTTCTGTGGGTGATCACAGAGTGGAAGCAACAAGTAAGAGTTTTCCTTACCTTGACTATTTTGCCTTGTTTTATCAAATATCCTTCCTTGGTACCAAGCTGTGAAGTAACAAAGAAAGGGATTGGGGTTAGAGGCTGAGCTCTGCTTCTATATCCCACATCCCCCTCTTTGCCTACATCAGGAGGATCAGTCCTTTGGGAAACTCCCCATAACCACTTGCCCTCACTTCAGTGCTCTCCTCAGGCCCATCCAGCCATCAAACATGGAGCTGTGCTGGCTCTGAAGGCACCCCCCTGGACTATGCCTCCCCCAGGGAGCTTCTGGCCTGCACCTTCTCAGCCAAACAGAGCAAAAAAGCTGCAGCTAAACTTTGTTTATTTAGTTGGATGGTTGCCTTGGTACGTGCTGTGAACAGAAGCACACAGGGTTTAACTGACAGTGGAATTATCCCCAGAAAATGCTCCTCAAATGCAAACAGGGGAAAGTGCTGTTTCACTGAGCTGTTCTCCTCTCTCAACCAGGCCCATCCTTGAGAGGAAAAACCTGTTATGTTCAATGTGCTTCTTAAAAAAATTTGGGTTTGAACTGTTTCTCTGGCATCCTGAGTGACACTTGGACCTTATGACTTCTTACTGACACTGTGTAGTGACCTGTCTGTGAGACTGCAGATCTCTGAAAATCAAAATCTTGCCAAGCTGCCACTTGAAAAAATATTACCTTTTATTGGTGGTATGTGGAAGTCAAGCTTCTTTGGAGGTTAAAATGTAGCTCAGTGATGAAAGGTTTATTGTGAGACACATCAGAAGTGGTTCTTCTAGCAACTTCATTAGCCCATATTAACATAACTCCTCCTTTTTTCACCAAAAGGTACAGTATATAATTAACTTTCCTCTCTGTTCAGAGCAAACTGTTCTGGAGAAATCAGCTGTCTCACTTAGATATGAGTTACAAGGGATTTAGAGACTCTAATTGCTGTTCGAGTGAGTCTCAAATGTCAGAACAGGTGGCCCAAATGTATATGATGACTTTTTTTCTGTGTGCATTTGTTGTTTTTTTTTTATTTTAACTCATAATAATGTTAATAATGATAAATTATTCTAAAAGATAAAATTGGAATGAAAATATTTCATATATTCTTTGTTTGGATAGTCAGACTCACCCAAGTCAGCTGCAGACAATGTTTTCCCAGGGACAGCACTGAAGTGACAACAATTATAAGAGCCTTTACTTGCCATGGAACTGCAGCGAGCAAGTCTGTATTTGTTTTTCCCTGTTTGGCAAAGACTTCTTGTGTTTACAAACCCATAAGGGGATTAATAACCAGTCTTACTCCATAGCTCACTCCAGCAATCGTGCTAGACTTGGGCCAGAAGCACCCCTCCCACCAGAACACAACTTACCGAGGGAGCATTTGGGACAAGGTCACTTTCTGTCCTTCCTGTCTGCATGGCAGTGTGAACACGGACAGACTCATAAATGGAAGGTTCTTCCACTTGCCGTGGGTAGGGATGCTTCAATACAATTAAGGTTCCTGGAGAGAAAAGAGCAGGACTAATCCATCTGGCAAGTCCAGCTTAGAAAATAACTTGTCAGTCGCTACATCTCTGAGGAATGGTTAATTTCACCTTTTCCTAAAATTAAAACCTGTAAATATATGGCACCTTTTCAAAACTTTTACCCTTGCAAATGCTTGCATGAAATCTCTTGACTCATTAAATTCCTTTCCTGCCCAAGAGGCTGGGTTGGAGTATATAGCCAGGATGCTAAACCAGACAGGAGGCCATAAGAGTCATTGAGTTTGCCAACATCCCACTAGGTAGTGCTTAAATCACTTAATCTGTCAGAGCTTTGGCTACAGGCTTCCTAACAGTAAACCCCATTACCATCACCTTCAATTGTTTTTACCACAGCTCTTCCCAGTTAAACCTTTTCATTATAGCCATTCTTCCTTTTCTCCAAGTAAGGTCATGTTTATTCCATGTTCTCTGAAAAAAGCTGCACTCTCAACAGTGAACCTATTGTGCTTTTCAAAATAGCAAAGAACGTCCTTAAAAGAGTAACTGCTCTTCTGTCTAACTCCATTCTTTAAAAATAATGTCACAGCACACCAAATGCTGCTCCATTTGCATTTCATGCTGATACTGCAGCTCTTAAAGAGGAGGGATGCTAGAACTGGTAACAAGTTGGACTTTAAACCTGCAGATGTATGAGTAATTTAAAAGTGTTCTGTAATGGGAAGGGCTAAAAAGAGAAGTGGAAAAGTTGCATTTGAAGTAACCAGCTGAAATCTGTTTGCAGACACAGGGCGTGTATGCAAATGTGATCTATTCAACTTGCCACGGGTGGAGAGTAACATTGGTTTAATTCTATCTGGTCTTGCAGAAGAAATATGCTTTACCATTTAAAATAAAATTGAGAACAGGTCCATCACCATTCCAGAGAAACTACTCCTAAGCTGTTGCAGACAATCAGGGTATCATCATCTGTACACATGGATACAAAAACGGATAAAAATCCCCATTGCAGAACTGGAAGGACTAATATAACATTTCATACAGTATTTGTTTTCTAGAAAGTTCTCTGTGGATTTCTTTCTCCTCCTCAAAGACAATTGTAGAGAATAGTCTGGCAATTATACACAAGATCTAGCAAAAGCTGCACTGTAGCAAGATTATTCTGCCACATCTGCATCTGCTGATGCTTGGATTGGAGTTGACTCTGATGAGTCCCCTACCCCATTTTTAACAAAAGAAGGTTATGACTCAGGAGAAATTTGGAACCTGTATCTGAAGGAGTATTGCCTGAGTGTTAATTCTCTCCTCCTCTCTACTGTTTTCCATGGTATGGTAAGGTGGAAGGTTTCTTGATATGAGGTTATATATATATGTATATATATATTTTTTATATTCTGTAGCACATTTGACTTATATTTTTCACACACCCAGTAGAATCTGATTAGGAAACTTTAAGATGGCAAGCCTTGATCCCATCCATAGAGATCAGATAAAACCAATGTCTTGTTTATTAATATCTTCACCTGTAGTGAAGGAGTGAGGAATGGGGAAATACAAGTTTTATGTCATCTGAAATCTTTACAGAGATTTCATGTGGGTGAATATGCCTGTGGGTGCATGCCTGATTTCCCAGGAAAAGTAGCTCACTGGCACAGAGGATACATGTAGGAGCTCTGTGTTTGAACCAGTTTTGAAAGCAATTTAAAAGGAGAGTATTTTGAAAAATACAAGTGCCATATTGAGTCTACAGCTGCATTTTTCTTGGGGGAAGAAATTGGCAAATGAGCCCTTGAATTTAATGTTAGTGTTAGCAGAGCACTGGTGCTAATTTAGTGTGTGACATGTTACAGTTATTGCATGTACCAGCTATCACTTAACTGGGCTCCTGCATATATAATTAGTACTGCTCTGAGTTATTTGCATACACTTGCCACAGAGGACACAGAAGCTTTTGGCATTAATTTGTACTGACATGTCTTCAATCAATCAAGTCTTCTTACACTTGAAGCTAAACAAAAAACTGACATTATCGTGATCATATCCACTTTGTTTCTTCAGGGGTTCTAGTCTGATGGTGTTCAATTCACATGTAGGAATCAAGTTTAATATTTTGACCCTTAATTCAGGCAGCACATTGGTTGTTAAAGAAATTTGTGCTTTTTCTCTCTCCTCTTAAAAGCGAGAAAAATCACTGTGATGGCAGATGGCACCAGCATGGTGATGCACTGCAGGCAGAACAGGAGAGCTAGTTAAAAACACATTCCCTACAGGAAAGAGGAGCATAACACTGTAGACTCCTTCCTTGGACAAAGAATAGTGAGATGAAACAATTTCAAGTTGCTTTTTCACTTATTCTTTTTGGGGGATTTCAGCTTCATAGATGCATATTTATTTCCTCACTAACACCGTGCTTTGGTTTTGCCATTTTTGAGAATGTTCTAATCCTCCTGGTGTTTTGAAATGCTTCCTCCTCTGAGAAATTGAAAGGAGCTCACAGCCCTGGATAGCAAAAGCTCAATAAGCTTATGTGTGGTTTATCTTCAAAGACCTTGAAAGATTTTTTGAAGTGGAACTTTTTTAGACACAAATACAGATGTGAATTTATGAACACTTTAGCAGAAGCTCTATTTGCTAACACATCAGAAGCTCCTTTTAGTTAGATCTTTGTGAAGCATGGCTACAAATGAGTTCATACACACAATATGTCTCTCCTTACCTGTTTCACTTCCAATTAAAGGCTGGTTTGCAAAATGCATGACCAATTCCTTCAAGCTAGAAAATTCATTAAATCCAAATCTGAATGAAGTTCCTGTACATTCAACATGGAAGTGTTTCACAGAATCTTTTCCCCTAAAATAGAAGAGGAAAATTTGTCAAGATGTAAATGCCAAAGGCATTTGGCACTTACAATCCTTAAATAGCAGCTTTCACTGCAGGGAATCTGACCCAGATCACAGGCAGACAATCACTGTCCTAGCAGTAATAGTACTGCCATTACTGTCCCTCACTAATACTCTACACATCTGAAAATCAGATTTTAGTTGCTGATTAAAAGATATGAGATGATGGAAGCCTAGAAAGACCAAGTTGGTTAATTTAACTCTTACATCAGCAAAAAGACTCACAAAAGAGATTTCAAGCCTTCTGCCTAAATAGGATGAAACCCCTTCACTTACTGGACTTTAGTCCTGATGGTGCACTCAGTATCTATCTTGCTTTTCAAGTAGCATCCCAATCTCATTGAAAACATCTTCTGTTTCCCTTTCAAAAAAAAAGCAGTCTCCATTTTGCACCCAAGCAGGGGTTTAGTAACCTTTTTCTAAATACCTAGGGCTTTAGGGTTTGTTTGCTTTGTCTCTGTACTTGGATGATTGGTTCCACTAGGATGGGCACTGACAAACATGAACCAGAGTCCTTGTTCTGTAAGGGAAGTAACAGCTTTTGTTTATGAAACCTGATGGCATTTAGAGAAGTGTGCAAGGTCTCACTTCCTGGGTAGGCCATTATTTTGCATTCAGAAGACAGTGAAACACTTATTTCAAGTATTTCTCCAGTGTAAAAGTTACTTTTGTTAATGTTACTAGCACCCAAAATAGTTGAGTAAACTTTGTCTGAGGAAAAACTTAAATAGCAAATATACTGAAAAAACGTGACGAAGAAAATTAATTATAGCTTCTCTTTCATTGTTTATTGCCACTTCCAAAGAAGATTATGATTTCAAACAGGTATTTAAATATTTATCTTTGAACAGTATTTATGAAACTGTAGAAGATGACTCTATGGGCGTCCCATGTGTTTTGTGCTACAGTCAGCAGGGGCACAACAAGCCAAGTGCAAATGCTCCATGCAAGGGAAGAGCTGCTGTGACTCTGCTGCAGTTACAGGGTTTTCCATCTTTTTGTTTAATTTCTCAAGATGATGTTGCAATGAGAGCAAATTCTACTCTGCTTCCTACTTCCTTTTCAGACTGATGTAGCCAGGGGAGGGGATTTCAGGCAATATGTGATCTCTCTTCCTACAGCTGTCAGTAAAAACCTTAAAGGATGGCTAAGCATTTTTTCCTTGAAAAATCCCAAAATATAATCATGACCGAAGTTCCTTATGAGGCTGAAGCAGAAAATAATGTCAAATCTACAGAAGATATTTTAGGACAGAAGGAAAATGACAGCTAGAATTGCTGAAATTATCCTTTCTACAGAAATGTATCAGAACAAAACTGAATTACTTATTCTAAAATTAAGTTTTAACTTTAGTCAAAAAACTGAAAGAAAATGTAAAATTAACCAGTAGAAAAACTGTAAAACATTTTAAAATCAAAATCAGTATTCAAAGGAGATGCACCAGCAGAAACAACAGAAGCTAACAGAACAGAATGAAAGATCAAACTTCAGACTGGGCTGTTCAGTTCATATGGTAATGCAGTAAGTAATTCTCACTACATGAAGAGCTAAGCAAGAGATTGGAATGGGCCTGAAATAGACATGTGTAGGTCTTCTAGTGCTAAAATCCATTAAAGCAGAAAATTCATTTTCATTAACTAACACTTCTGTTTCCTATTAAAAATAACTATTTAAATTTTGGTTTATCATAATAAGTTGTTTCCTGAATGCTATTTAAAACTACCTTCAAGATACATATACATATATATATATCTATAAATTGTCTGAGGTAGCTATCTCAAATAATGTTTAACATTTTGAAGTAAAAACACAAAAATAACCAGAAAAACAATGATTAATTTAAAGTTACTTTTTTTTTAAGGACTCATAAATGTCATTATTCTTTTTGACAACACTTGCAGTCATTTCAGTCATTGCTACTCTGAATACTCATTTTGTAACCTCACCTTCAGATCTGTTGGGCACCCTTTGTCTAACTGGCTGCCTGTAGTGGTAATAATTTCAACAGTGTGTGTATAGACACGCTCGCTCCTAGGTCTTCTGTCAGAAATGGGTGAAACACCTCATCATGTCTAACGCATGTGTCCTTAGGCTGTCTCACTAGAATGTCGTGGCTTTTCTCCTTCTGGGAGATTCTTTAAATGTGATTCAGTAGTGAAGTAACCAGGCCAGGCTACCTCTGCTCTGTATTGGTTGTATCCTGAAGAGTTGTGTCCTGAATTGCTGTAATTGACTTCAAGGCCCTGACATCGATCCCTCACAAGATGCTATTCAATTTAGCCACACAGACTTGGCTAAGACTGAACCTCAGCACAGAACAGAGGAGTGAAACCAGCCAGTCAAACATTGGATCATCCTTCAGAGATGATGGTTCCTATACAGGGATTCAGAAACTAGCAAGGTTAACATCTGTTAAATGTTTGCTGCTGTCTCATCTTAAAACTTTTCTACTCCTGCCAGCTGTTTCTTAAGCTCTTTTAACTGACATGCAGATTTTTATCACTCAGACTGAAAATTTACAGCCATTCTATAGAATTATGTTTTCTACCAATAAGAATAATTCATAAATTGGAAAAATGAGAGCAGTTGTCAAATCCAATCCAATTTTTTCCTCTAGAAAAATGTCATTCAGTGGGATTATACCAATAGGAATATATTTCAAAATGCTTTAAACCCTAGGGAAAATAAACCACCTTGTAATGCATGGGACATTCAAACATGGAAGTAAGTGCAGCATTAGATTAGTTCACATAACCTACCTTACAGAGAGGGAGTACAGATCTTCCCTTTCATTGCTCTTCCTCAAAAGATAGCTCCCATCCTTCCCGTTGGAGAGCAGCAGCGCTTCTGCTGCGTGTCGGGTGAGATTGTCATGGTACCACCTGGGGAGACACAAGGGCTTAAAGCATCCTTCACTCTGCCCTAAACTGGCTGCTGCTGCTGCTTTTTGGAGCAGGGTTAATTCCTCTACAATTTTGTGTTATCCCCTTTCTCACAGGCACCCACAGCTTACACAGATCCGTGCCCCTGGCAGTGGCCTCCTTTTGACAGTGTCAAAAAACTGTTTTTTGTTAACGCCAAGTTGTGTGCAAACAGCTGACTGTTTCACTGGATCTAAAAACTCTGCAGTTTCTCCTTGCACAAGCAGCAAATTACCCAGGTCTGCACTGATAAGGTGAAAGCAGTTTTGGGGGGTATACAGAATCCCTTGTCTATTTTCAGAAGCGAACATAGGTATATTCTTTGGTACACTTCTTCTGGGCAAACAGGCAGCACTTAAACTCCTCATAGACTCCCTATTTCCCTCAACACATCTTCGCTGCCAAGTTCTGCAATTAAACCTCCTTGCCTAAGCTCATAATTAAAGGGATCAGAATTAACTGACAGAATTTCAGTGAAAATTAAGATATTTTGCTATTGTTGTCTCTCAGCCAGGTGTGATCTGAGCAGCAAAGGAAAACATCTAAACACTGTTTCAATTTATCTTCAGTGAAAATTAACTTCATTTTTATAGGAAAAGTTTTGCAAGGACTTCACAGGAAGAAAATCATGCAAAGAAGTCCAGGAAGTGTAGTTTATGGGTGTGTTTCCATTCAGAATGCTCCACAATAGAAACACCCTTTTTTTCACAAGAGGCAAATATCTCACTGGAAATGAACCTGAGACTGAGCACAAAAAGCTGGAGCTATAAAAGGTTGGAGCTGCAATCCTGCAAGGCACGCGATAATAACCATAGCCATGCACACGAGGCTCTGGAGCAGGAGGAGGGAGGGATACTACACCCAAGGCTCTGCTGGGAGCAAGCTTCCCTTGTCTGTATGTGGAGTGCTGCCAGGTCGCCTTTCCCTTCCTTTAAAACTCCTGTAACGTTGGGTTCAAAGCCTGTCACTGGTTCAGCCAAAGAAACATGGTTTCCCTGAAAGCAGAAGTGCCCTTACAGCACTTTCCAGAATTTGTTTCGTGGCAGTCTTCGAAATGAAACCAGGTGTAATTGTATCCTCTTTCTCCTTAGCTGTTCATCCCAAGTTTCCACCAAAGCTGGCTTCTCGCACAAAGCTTTAACTCTCAATTTGGATGGCTGCCCATTTGAAAGGCCAGCTGGCTGATAAATTGCTTTATGAGAATCTCCAGACTCTTAACCCAGAGGAAGAGAAGATCCATGTGAAACTCAATACAGGCAGGGTAATGCTGTTTTGGCTCTAGAATGTGGTCCATCTTCACAGTAGAATAAAATAATGAATATTTAAAGATCAAAGTGTCATCCTCTGGAACACCTGTTAGCCAAAATCCGCCTGGGGATTAACTGCTCAAGTAAGCAACAGGCAAAGGTCAGATCATTCCTGATGTGGGGAGGATCGTATCAGCATGGCCAGACCTGCAGCTGAGAATGCAGCACTGTGTTTGGGGTGGGATTTCCTGATGCTTTTTGGCTCACTTCTGTGCGAAAGAACCAGATGTTGAGAAAATCTGTGAGTGGTCATTGTCATGAAGGAGACAAATTTAGTTTGAGGCTGCTCATAACTGTGTCATTACCTTATTTCCAAAAAAAAATCCTACTACTAAACTTTTGAAAGAGAAGTCATTTAAGTTTAAAAAATGCTGTGTTTAAATCTACTCTCTCTTTACACACAAAAGGCCAGGGACTAATGAAATGTTACTATCATGAAAAAAAATAGATAAACCAACCAGAAACCAACAACAAAAAAACCTTAATTGGGAAAATACTGTTGTTTGAAGGTGCACTTTTAAAACTTGGATGACAAGGCTACACTAGTTTCTTGCCTAAATATGCTGTCTCAGACAAAAATCCCTCAAATGTTACTCAAAAAGGCTGCACCAGTTTCTTGCCTAAATATGCTGTCTCAGACAAAAATCCCTCAAATGTTACTGTGTTGCTCTTGTTCAGCTCAAAAATATGGAAGTGGATGGGAGACAGTAAGGAAGATCTTGGTGTCAAAGGGACTGTTACATGTAGTTTTGGGTTTTTTCTCTTCCTGACTGTGACAGATGGTTTGATCAGGTTACTTCGATGTTCCACTGTGAAAACTGTCATACAAACTCTGTTCCAATTGCATAAACACAGGTAAAATATTGAATTGCTGGAGAAAATTTAGAGTTTCTACCACAGCCCACCAGGAAGGTAAACAAATACTCTATGCAATCTGCTCTTACAATCAAACCTGAGCTGACAGTACAAGCAGAAATCACCAGGGATAAAAATAAACTCAAACAGTCCTGTGGTTAGACACTACTAGATATACTTCAGGGTAAATTTAAGTATTTTTCATTCCTTCTATTTATCTGTCTCAGAAAAACCTTTTAAGCAGTTCTTTGAAACTGGCAAGCAAATCAAGATGGGAGTTATGGCTCATTTGGCAAAACTGTAAAAGGCAATCCCCCTTCAGCTTTGAAGCTTTGATTGTCTTCTGAGTTTTATCTGGGGCAGGAAATAGTTGATACAAAACACAGTACTGTATCTACCCTTATGCCATTTTCTAACAAGACATTAAGGAAACTAAAATGCTTTACAAACATCCATCTCTTTGAAGCCCCTAGAAAGTCCTTCATAAAGCTGGATTGTCTTAAATCTTTGGTTTTAAACATGGTGGATAACATTGGACAATCGGGATATTTCTGAAGGTCCTTCCAAAAGTCATCTTTATAGAGTCTTGTATTCACTACAAAACAAGTCCAGAAATATGCTCTGTACTTTGACAGCTTTCAGACTGAAAATCATCAGTAGTGTAAAAATTGCCTGAGGTTCTTGATTGAGATTTCTCTGAGAAACACAAGAAGAAAGATTAAATTAAATTAAAGGGTTAAATTCCCTCCCTGCTTCAGAGCCACTTCTTCTGGCTGCCCTTGTACACCCTCCTGATATGTATACATATTTCTGGGAGGTTTCTCCTTTCTGATTATTTCATTTTGTGTATTAAAAAAAAAAGGTGTAGTCAACTTTTTGGGTTTCCTTTTCTGCAATTTGACCAGCAATCTCAGGCTCAGAGTTTATAGATGCTGTCATTTATCCATTCTTGTTACTTTAACTTCATCCTAAATGATGTTAAATGTCTTTATCCGGTCCACGTAAGCACGTTTGTGTTGTGCGTGTGTGTTGTTGAATGACCCTGCCATCTTTCCTGCTCTTTGGAATGGCCAGTGAAAGCATGTCTTAGGATGGACAAGCACAGCCAGTGAGATCACTTTTGCTACCCCTTGAAAAAGAAAGCATTTTCAGATATCAGCCTATTCTTTAGGTCACCCTGCATTGGTGACGATATGGAGGAAGGACTTTAGTGACGGCTTTTACAGGGAAGAGAAGGAAACGAGAACCCAGTGCCCCAGAATGCCCAAACTCATCAGAGCACACAGCCTTGCCCTGAAGATCTGCTCCTCCAGTCACCAGCGGGGTTTCCCCATGGAATAATCCAGTGGCTGCTGCAGCTGTGCTAATCATCACAAATCCAGAACAGGATGTACTCACGTTAAAATCTCTTCTTAAGAAGACTTCTGTGTAGTTAATGCAGCAGCTAGAGCTACCTACACTACGCTGAAGATCAGGAATATATTACAGCAAAGTCTGGGGTGAGAAATTCCCTGTTTAGGTTAGAACATCATCCTCAAAATGTTCATTCTTTAACAACTCAAGCTGTTCCAATGAAAAATGATAATGAAACTTCATTTCTGTGTTCCCTGCAGATGAAAGTCCTTAGGTATGGCATCTGTCATTTCTGATAATGCTGTTTTCAAAGAAATCATGTGGATATTTTGCCAAAAAAATCTGCCTGGGTAAATAGGAGCTGCTGTATAAACTTGCAGCTGGCATCAGGTGGATAAACTTTTTAACAATAACAGAACACACAAGGAACACACACACTTATCCATGAAAGGATGATTGCTGAGTGACTTGCACAATTCTCTTGTGAGCCAGTTTTATGTGCAAACTGTGTAACATCCAGTAGAAACACTTGCTTTTCTTCCTCATAACAACGAAAGATAGTAGCATGAGAAGAGAGCACAGCTGGAAGTTCTGGCTGCTATTTGGTGTAAATGTTTGGAGTGATAACTCTGTAGTATGCCCAGCTACCAGATAAATGCAGTAGGCAGAGGTCACACTTAGTTTTTGTGTCCTTATCAGATGTTCTCAGTACTAGAAACAGCGTGCATGTTTGGCTTGCTTTGGTGAAAAAGTCAGACAATTCAAAGTTCCTTCTGTGAAGCAAGAAGGAGATTCTTGGTGCTCAGCTGGGTGAGCTCTGCTCTCTTCCCAGAGGCTCCCTCTCCTACTGCAGCAGGGACAGTAGTGCTGGTGCTCTGTGGTGGGTGGAAAGCACTTTGACAGCTCTCTGAAGCAGAAATACAGCAAGTCTAATTCATCTCTTGCCCACCTCTGAAAGGTAACAAACGACCCATATGACTGGGAAGATGAGCCACATATGCCCCCAGTAGGACTTCACTCCAATATTACCCAGAGCAGTTATTTACCCTCAGTTGGGTTGACTGGATTTTTTGTTGTTTTTTTGTGGGGTTTTTTTTGTGGTGATAGATGTTGGCAAGTTTTATGTTTTGTTTTTTTGATTTTTTTTTTAAATTAAATATATCTTCTGCCACAAGGAGTTGAATTTGCTTACACTTTGAAACTATATTCTAGCCTCAAAGATGTATTCCCACTCTAAGGTTAAAGCAGTAGTACTGCTCAATGGAGCACAAGGGAAAGCACTGACTTATCTCCTCTGGCTGGATGCAATGCTCTTTATGTACCCATGCTCCAAAAATTACTGTAAAATTGACTCACTAGTTCTCTATTTCTGGCATTCTGTATTTCAGCAACTTCCAGCTCTCATCTGTCAAGTTTAGTAGTTTAGGATTTTTATTTTTTTATTTTTTTTTCTATTGCCCATCATCTGAAAATTGCAAAAGGGTTCTCTGTACCTCACATCACTCTAAGTGAAGTCTTGGCCATGTTTTAAATGGTGCCTGAGTTGACAGAGCTCTAGAGAATCTCCAGAAGGGCAAGAATGCCAAGACAGAAGTTACAGGTGTCAGGCAACCAAACTGGTATTTATCAGACATCCCTTCAATGTGTTACATTGAAACACTTAATCATGAACCTGTATAAAGTACTTTGCTGGAATACTGGATGCCATTACATGGAAAAAATAATTTTAAAATAGAAACAAGAGGAAATAACATAATATATCCAGTCTTAACGTTTCTGTCTTCTAACTATAGACTTTCACTAGTTCAACTTCTGCTTTTCACTTCTGTTTTCTCTCCCTCTTCTTTTAACTGCCTTCATTCTGATTTTCACCCATTATTTGGCCCACTTTCTAGTCACTTCAATTTTTCTCTTGCTTAAATTCAAAAACAGAGATGAAGAAAAAAATTCTTATGACCATTTACTGTGTTCCAGTCTAACGTGTTCCTCAGTTTAATTATCACCTGATCTAGGTGATAATTTCTCTTCTGCTACTAAAACAAAGCATGAAATGTCTTGTCCAGTCTTACTAATACCATCTGTGAAGGTATTGTCAAACCGGGAAGAGCATAAAAGCTCAGCTGCAAGGGGTGACAAAGAAAGCTTGGACTTTGGCTAGGTAGGAGGAAAAAAGGTCGCAAAAATTTGTTTCCGTTTGCCCTGTGCCTTTCACTTTCAACAGACAGTGTCATCCAAACTGTGCTGTATTGGGATGCAAACTGTGCTACCAGACCAGCCTGTAATTACTGGGTTGATGAAATATTCCTCATTCTCATCTCTTGCGCAAATAACAAAGGGGAATTCCCCAAACTCAGCCACAGGAGCTCCACACTGCCATCAGCTCTAATAGCAACAAAGGCCACTGGAAAACAGGAATAACCAAAGAGGCCTTCAGAGAAGAATCCTATTTTCAGTTTCCTTTTCCTTTGAGCCAAGGTGCTTATGTCTCTTTTGGCAAACTTTAGTGCTCCCTTTTAAATATTCTGGTAGATTTAGGGACAAAGTTAATCGGTGAGGCAACAAGTTTTTAACAATGTGTTCTGCTTTTCAGCTCCCTTTTCATTAAGCATTAGGCCCACCTATATGCACATCAATACAACGAAGCTGACTGTAATCTGAATTTTCACTGCATTGCTGACAATTTTCCATTCAGTTGAACAGCTAACTTGGTAAACTACGAGCATGTCCTGGTACTCAGCCTTTTCTCTTAAGAGTAAAGTCCTTCCCATTTCACACTTCTTTAAACCTTATCCAACTTCTTTGATTTTTGCACCAGAAAGCAGAAGCTTTAAAATAAACTGCTTCAAATTCCCCCCAAAGTTACGTTAATGTTGAAGCTACTTCTCATTTGAATGACCACTGTCTCTGTTGGAGACTCCTCACCACAACTGGGTCTCAGTCGTGCTGGATACTGCATCAGCTGTCAGGGGAACTCTGCACTGTGAGAATATGGGACTGAATTTAGGATGAAAAACCCTTGTGATGACTGAGAATTTCATTTTATGGTCTGGAGAGTGACACACCTACTTGTCACAGCTGGAAAGGTATTTACATTAAGAGAGCTTTCAGGTTATGCTGCAAGAATGTCTGCTGCATGAGAACTTTTTCATATTTAGGGGAAAAAAAAAGAAGGAAAAAAAAGTGGCTTTAGTACTAGCTGAAAAGAAAGGGCCTTGTTTAATAATTTGAAGGGACTCTTTGCCTGGTATTTCTTATTCACCTTTAATCTATTTAATTCAACACACTTCCCTGAATGAGATGCTTAGTATTCTGTGGAAGGGTGAAAAGTTTTTTCCATTGAAGCAGAAGTAAAATAAAGAAGGTACAGCTATAAAAATGCATATTTGTAGTCCTCTCATCTGTACTCCTTCCTTCTGATGGATACCACATTAAGTACCACATCAAGCAGCATTTCTACAAGACTGTCTATGAGGATGAACTCCTTGCTGCTTATAGGCACATGTTACTGGCATATATTATCTCAGACCACATTGTGTAAGTCAGTAAACAAATAGCCTGGTAATTGGGAATCATGCTTCCCACAACAGCTCCAACTAATTTTTCTTTCCTTCTTCCCTGTAAATACTGTTTTAGGATGAGCATAATCTAACAGATGTAATGAAAAATTATATAATGGCTACTCTGGGTACGACTGCGAAGCGACTTAATTTCATACCTGTTAGGTGCTTCAGTTAACAGGCATTTCATTAAAAGGTTTTTTCCAATACAGGAAAGTAGCACCACTGTAGAGATACTAATTTCAAGCTATTTTGTTGCGCTCCAATTTGTTCGCTAAGTGAATGAATCACAAATATAAGCAATGAGTTGGTCCTAATCCTCAAGTGCTCAGGAAGCAAAACACCTTTACTTTTTTTCATCAATTCGTTTGAACGCAGAGGTGACACCAGAGCCTTTTTTGCTTTGTAGGAATGATCGCTGGCCTTTCTTCTGCTTTGCCTCCCCTTTGCATTGCTGCCACTGCTCCCACCCTGCCTGCACCCACCTGCGCTGCTCCTCCAGCCCGTGTTTATTCCTGCCCACGGCAAAGCTGCCGCTGGCAAAGTGACCCAGGCCTCCTTTCTCCTGTGAAAACCAAAACTAGCTGGCAGAAGAAAATGCGCGAGTCGCATCAGACAGGGAGCAAGGTCTGTTGCAAGCTTCGGCCTTCCTTTTTGCTCCTGGGCTTTTGCTTTTCGGTGAGCGTGATGTGCTCGCAGTGGCTGCGAATTGCCCGCTGCTCTCCCTGCTGGAGCCACGGGCACCCTTGGGAATCCTGCTGCCTCCCGGGCCCGGCAAGGACAGCAGCTCCCCAGACCAGGGCCCAGGCCAAGCTCCAAGGAGACATCTGAAGGGATGGCACAGGGAGGACAGGGATCTGAGGACAGCCTCTGTGTTTGGTGCTCCCTGGAAAGGCAGGGAAGTGGCACGGCACAGCCTGGGCTCTATCCGGTGGCGATGGCTTCAAGGCCGCAGGGGTTCTCCGAGGGAAGCTGCTCCCCTGCCACCAGCTTTCCACTACATTCAAACCGTGTGTCTGCGCTCTCGGTTTCCAGCTATTCTTTATTTGTCCCGGTCCGCTGTGCCAGCCTCTCAGCGCTGCCACCGGGACGAGGCGCTGGCCTTCCCCGAGGGCCCACAGCACGCCCGGGCCTCGCTGGGACAGACCCCGCCTTACCTCATCCCTCCCTTCGCCACCCAAACCCAGCAGCCAGACCCAGCAGCTCCCACCCTGCCAGCCCCGCCGGGAGTCCCGGCACGCCCGGGGCTGTCCCTGAGGGCGCTCCCGGGGCTGTCCGTGAGGGCGCTCCCGGTGCTGCCCCGAGCACCGCTTACCCCAGCGCCATCAGCTCCCTGTGGGGCGGCGCGGCGGGACGCGGCTCCCGGCGCTGGGCCATGCTCCCGCCGCTGCTCACGCCTCTTCGGGGCTGAGGAAGTG